CCTTCGGAGAACAGTGGCTGCTGCTTCCCATCCGCTTTCCCAGTCTCATTCATGTTCCTCTGTTGGCCAGCTCTATCCTGGAGCCGTGCAGGGATGGGGATTCTGGGAGACACAGCTCCCACAGTAACCAGGTAGCACAGCATAACACAGAGGTTATTCAAGGAGGTCAACAGAAGGCAAGGATTGGATGTGTAGTCGAGGGCCTTGTGATGGTTAATTTTATGTGTCAGTTTGATGGGGCCCAGCTATTTGGGCAAAGATTATTCTGGGTGTGTCTGTGTGGGTGTTTTCGGATGTGATTAGCATTTGAACGAGTACGCTGAGTAAAAGTAGACTGCCCTCATCCAGAGAGTTGAAGATCTGCCTGACTATTGAGCTGGGACACCAGCCTTTTCCTGTCTTCAGACATTGAAACATCAGCTCTTTTTGTGTCTCGAGCTCGCTGGCTCTTGGACTGGAACTCACACCATTGGCTCTTGAGCTGGAACTTCAGACTTGGACTGAAACTACACCATCGCTGTTGACTTTCCTGGGTCTCCAGCTTGCCAACTGCACATTTTAGGACTTCTCAGCCTCCATAATTGTGTGAACCAGTTTCTTAGAGGAAATCTCTTTCTCTATATATGTACATTCTGTTGGTTCTGTTTCTCTGGAGAACCCGGACTAATGCAGGTCTAGGTTTCCCTCTCCAAGTGAAAAAACTACTAAAGTCCTGGGAGGAACTTGTGTACTGTTGGTTTAGAGTTAAGAGCTAAAAGGTCAAAGTGTTCTGGTGTGAAAGCTTGCTGGTAGTTTAGTAATTTGGATAAAGGATCTTTTAAGTGGATGGAATTTTCCTTGCAGAAGACGCTAATGGCTTTGGAAGTTTGAGGCAGCGTCTCTTCGCTTCTTTAGAGCGTTGAGTGACTGCTGAAGCTTGATGCTGACTTGGGGATTGGTTTTCCTCCCTGTTCTTTCTGTGTAGAGCGAGGTCAGACCCAGCACTCTTTTGGTGATGTTAATCATATCAACAAACTTTATCACGAAACTTAAAAAAAAATCCTTGCTTTAAAACCATGCTACTTCTGTTTTACTGTCACTCTGCTAAATCCCCAAATCACAGCCTTTGAGAACTGGAGGAAATTGTGGAGATAATCTGGCCTGATTTTTCCCAAATTATGTTCCATAAAACATATATTCCTAGATGTTCATAGGTGGCCCTTGAAAAAAGGAATTCAATGACCAAGTAGGTTTGAAAAGACTGCATACATTCTTTCCCTTTTGGAGAATCCAAATGCACTTTAATAAAATTTGAGATGCCTCTTAGACTTGAAATGGATGTACCAAGTAGGCAGTTGGTAGATAGGTTTGGATTTCAGGGCCAGGGTTGGAGTTGGATATATAGATTTGGAAGGCAACATGTTTCAAACCATGGGAGCAGGGAATTCCCTGGTGGCCCAATTCTGCGTTTCCACTGCAGGGGGCATGGGTTTAATCCCTGGTTGGGGAACTAAGATCCTGCAAGCCACATGGCATGGCCAAAAAAACAAAACAAAAACCAAAAATCAAGCAAACAATAAAACATGGGAGCAGATGAGATGATGAGGGAGAGTTTAGAAGGAATTAGTGGGTGAGGGCTGCAAGTGCTGCAGCTCTCTTGTGACCATGAGGAAAATACCTGGGAATGGAGCCAAGACCCAGAAGATGGCATTGCTGAGGCAAGTGACAGAGAGAAACTTGGTCAAAAGTCGAGGTACTAAAGCTGATTTTACTGTTGGACTTTTCAGCAATAATACCAGTACATTCTTTTTGAACTTCAGTGTTTATGTCATTTCTTATGGAAAGAGTCCTGACTAGTATGACATCTCCCAAATCCTTTTGCACACTTATCTCTATCTGTCTGTGTTTCCCCACCTCCTTCCCTGTCATGGAGGAGAAGCAGCTGACCCTAAGATGCCAGAATTCACCAGTCACCCCTATCGTGAGGAGCAAAGGGAAAGGCCCTCAATCAGTGTCTATTGTCGACATTTCAGGCAAGAGTGGAGGAATTAGTTAAGAATGGGATAAAACAGTTAAGGATTTTATTTTTATTTTTGGATTGTTAGCAACCAACCCAAACTGACTCTGGCTAACTTAAACCAAAATGGGATTTTATTGGAAGGATCACAGGTTTCCCTCACAGAATCAAAGAGAGAGCTGAACAAGCTGAACAGCAAACCTGGGGAAGGGGAGGGACCAGAGCTACCCTGGGGAGTCTCAGCAGGATGGCATCACCATCCTCTCTGGGCCGCCCATCTATTGATGTGGTACAGCTCCAAGGCCTGCGCTCTCTGGTTCAAGCTTGAAACAACTGCGGGAGAGGAGATGCTTGTGGGGAGAGAGCCTGAGGCAAGATGAAGCCTACTGGCCTGATCCCTGGAAGCCCACCCAGCACATCTGAGAGGCTTGGCAACATGCCAGGAGATGTCTCAGGTGACCTCTCTGAGGATGGAGCCATTCCTGGGCTTCTCCAAGATGCCCGAGGCCTACAAGGGATTAAGAGCAACCTCGGCAGGCCTTCACTGCAGGCCTTCACTGCTCGTAAGGCTCAGTGAGGGTGCTGGGGAAGGGCTTCCTTGGTGCTTTGGCTTTCAGGCCTCACACTGTCTCAGACTTTGCCCATCACTGGTGTCTCTGACTTCTTTAATCTTTACTCTTCCCCTCTTAGCATATGCCCTTCATCTTTGGGAAACTTTTCTTTCACTCTGCTCTTTTCCCTCCTCCAAGCTCCCCAGTTGCTGTAGACTGAATGTTTGTGCCCCCCCCACCCCAAATTCTTACGTTGAAACCTAATCCCCAGTGTGATGGCATTTGGAGGTCTTTGGGAGATTATTAGGTTATGAGGGTGGAGCCCTCATGAATGGGATTAGTGTCCTTATAAAAGAGACTCCAGGGAGATCTCCTGCCCCCTCCACCATGAGAGTTTATAGTGAAAAGACAGCTAGCTTTCTGTGGGCTCTCACCAGACATCAAATCTGCTGACACCTTGATCTTGGATTTCCCAGCCTCCAGAACGGTGAGAAATATATTTTTATTGTTTGTAAGCCACCCAGTCTATGGTATTTTGTATAGCAGCCTGAATGGACTAAGACACCACCCTTTAAAAAAATGATTCTTATTAAAAAATAATCATTATTATTAAAAAAGTTATTCAAGCAGTACCAAAGATTTTTCAGTGAAAAGTAAGTTTTTAAAATTTTCTTCCACCCTGGACTTTATGTCTCTTGCCAGAGGCAGTGATTATTATCAGTCTCCTGAGTATCTTTCCAGATGTAGCGTATGTTTATATCTCTATATATAGACCCTACATATTTTATTTTGTAAACACAGGAGAGAAGATTATAAACACACTGTTCAGTACCTTGAATCTTCCACTTGGTGATGTATTGTTCATATCAGAGCACATTGGTCTCATTCTTTTTGATGGCTGTGTCATATTCTACAGTGGATTCCCCACTGATGGACAGGATCTTGTGAATACAAATGATGTTGCAGTGAACGTCCTTCTACATGGGACTTCAGGCACCTGAGCCAGTACATCTGTCAGAAACAGTAGTGCTTTCTTTTCCAAGAGATATCGAAGCTCAGTTCTGGTTTCCACCAGACTTCCCAGGCGTGGCTCGTGGCCCACCTTGGCTACCTCCTCTTTCTCTCCACTCCTTAAATACCTACAATATGCCCACTGACACACTCAAAGGCCACCAATGACCCCCTTCCTTAGTGCACCACCTCTGACTTTTCTGCAGAATTTGACCCTACTTCCTATCCTTTCCTGAAGCTCTCCTTGCTTGGCTGATAGGAGGGGTAATCTTTGTCCTCGCCTATCTCTCATCCTGCTTTTCCTGTGTCCTTTCCTGTCTCCCAAAGGTCACCATTTGGCAGGAGCGTGAGGGCGTGGGACCTGCTGGGCCAGCCCTTTCAGCTCCTGGTTGTCCCACCCAGGGTGTCACACCCACCCGTTGACCTCACTGCCTGGACCCTAGAGGAATGTAAGATTTTGATTTATTTCTCAGTATGGTTAGAAACAAACGCATGTGATTCCATTTATGTAAAAAGGAAAATGCACCTCCCTATATATCTATCTATTTATCTGTCTATCTATCCCTCCATCCACCTACAGAAACCCTCCCAGGAGTTGGCCAAATAGGACACATTGGCAATAGCACAGAGAACGCTACTCAATACTCTGTAATAACCTTTATGGGAAAAGAATCTGAAAAAGAATAGATACAAGTATATGTATAACTAAATCACTTTGCTGTACACCTGAAACCAACACAACATTGTAAATCAACTATACTGTAATATAAAATAAAATAAAAATTAAAAAAAATAACACATTGGCAGGCCTGTTTGCAAACTCTGTGTGATACACCAAAATACTAACAGCGATTATTTCTGGATGCTATGATTGTGGATAATTTTTCTACATGCTCAACTGTTTTTTTTCTAAAATTTCAACAATGGAACACAGATATTAATAATATATTAATATTCATATATTATTATTGTGTCCCAAACCTATCTTCCCCCCAACCCTCTTGCCAATTTAACTTTTACCCTAGAAATTCCTATTTGTCGGAATTCTGGGACTCTTCCTAGGTTTAAAACCTGGTAGGCATGCTTCGTATTCCTTCCCTCTCATATTCTATCTTCCTACTACACTTTGTGGTTATTCGAGTGAATTTCTATCTCCTCTGTTAGATTTTTAGTTCTTAAGGGACACAGACCTTGTCTTATCTCTCTCCCTGGGGCCCATCACACAGCACAGCTCACAAACAGATGCTCCCAAAATGGTTACTGAACCTTCTGCTTGATGCCTCAGTCTTGTCGACATCCTGCAACTGTCACCTGCCTGAGAAATTTCCTCTATAAATAAGCAGTTTCTGTTTCAGGTATAAACCATAGCCCTTGCTACATATGCCCCATCTCTTACCCCACCCAGGCCTCAAACTTAGAAACTGGAATTAGTGTTGGTATTCAAATCCTTAGCCATGGTACAAAGAGTCAGCCCCCATAAGAACCAAGTCATTGATGTGAAGTTCTTTTTTTCCCTCGACATTCTAGCAGCTGTCATTACATTTGCTGGGGAATTCTCGACGAGATTTTACTTGTCCTCCCATGCTGTTCTTTCTGTGGTTTCCTTGTTTCTTTTTGCGATCCGGTTCCAGATGGCTCAACAGTGCTTCCAAAATGAATATTTTGACAGATTGCTGAATGCTTGCAAACCGTGTCACCTTCGATGCCCTAATACCCCTCCTCTAATATGTCAGCGTTATTGTAATACAAGTAAGTAATACTGCTCAAACAATTCCTCATTGGTGTGAAGTCTTCTCTCTGTATTGACTTTATTCAAAGAAGAAATATTACGGGGAAGGTGGTGATATTTTCTGGATCAAAAATAGGAAGAAAATTAGGCAATCATTTAAATGCCAACAGGAACGAACAATTATTCAGAACTGAACTCAATTTTATTCTGCAATGTTAACAACAGAGATTTTTTATCAGCTCTCCTAATTAAGTATGGTTTAGAATTTAAAAGTCAATGCTGAGGAATGAGGGGAATTGGACGGCAAATAATCTTTACTTGATGTGGTTATGATGTTATCAGTTCATTATTTCTCTGACATTCTTTTAATTCAGTGAAAGGAACAAATGCAATTCTCTGGACCTGTTTGGGCCTCAGCTTGATCGTTTCTTTGACAGTTTTCGTGTTGATGTTCTTGCTCAGGAAGATGAGCTCCGAGCCATTAAAGGACGAATTTAAAAACACAGGTTGGTTTGATGGTTGATCTTTGAAATCTGTTTCCAAGAGGTGGCTATGGTGAATTTCAGTTCCTTTTCTTTTTTCATGTTGAGTATCTCATCCGGTAAGGGCCCTTTTGAGTGTGTTAGATAACAGGTTAAACGAACTCTTGGAAGAAGCGAACTTTCTTTTCGATTTTTACACCTTCTTTGCTGATGTCCTACAATGTCAGCCTTCCCCAACATTTTTTCTAATTACTCTTTTGAAGTACTGAGGCTTCCTTGGGAAACATCCATCTCTTTGACAAAGTTAGCACATTGATTAAACGTCATGCTATCAGAAACAGCTAGCCAGGTTTGGTACTATTGGGAAAAGTATCTTTGGCAAGATCCGTGGCCATATTTTCATACAAATATAAGTGTTGTTTGCTTGAGTGAACATTTTACTGCGAAAAATGCTAGAAATGAATACCAGTTGCTCCTGGATTATTTAAACAATCATCTCAAAGATTTTTGTCTTTATTAAGCAGTAGAGAACCAGTCCCAGAGAAGTGGATGTTCTACTTAAAGGCTTTGTAAGATAAAAATATTTCAGCACCTTTGCCCATGATCTAATTCCCGAACACTTTGCAGCCATTGCCCTATTTCTTTATGCATGTATTTTCCATGCATAATCTGTAAAGCATCCACCTCATTTGCTTTCTAGTGCAGTAAAGGGAGGGAGATGGCTGTTCCATATGATTGACTCATTTCTCGTTTTTTGCCTGGGGTCTGAGAGACAGGTGGGGAGTGACTTTAGTGTGACGTTTTGGAAGATGGGGTTACACTGCAGAAGGTTGAGGAAGTAGTAAACGTGCCTTCATAGACATATATGGGGATGTAGTGGAGGCTCCTTCCTTCTGTGATCATGACAGATTCATTTTTAAAAAAAAGTAATCTGCCACAAAATGCTCTGTAAGAGAAGCATCTTTACTGTGAATTCTAAAGTGTCACCCAAGACTGATTTTGGTGTGCTGTAACATATGGTAATTTGTCATTTCACATGTGTAAAAAGGCTCAGTACCTTAATGCATCCAAGGGCCAAGTGCGTGAGAAACGAACGTAGTGGGCTGCTTGAGGCTTCGGCAATAGGGGAGCCCATGCCCTGCTTGAAGGAGACAGGTGCTATCGACTCCCAATTGTTTCCGTGTAGGAATGTTGGCTCCTAGTGGCCACATTTTGTTTTCTTAAAAAAAAAAAAAAAGAGGCCAGTTGTCTAGATTTGTATGTAAAGTCTCCTGCTTTTCAAATGTGGGCCAATGTAAAACAGACAAGCAAACACTTAAAAACACTGTACGCCCTAAACCAAGCATGTCTTTGAACCCAATGTGGCCCATGGTCTGTCAGTTCATGACTTCTAGTGTAGGACCCACTTATTTGTTCTGTGGGAAGAGACACATCTCACGTTGCTTTGATCCCGGATGTGTGCTGTTAAGTCTGGCACAACCATGCGCCCTGAAAAGTTTAGGTTAACAGTTCTGTTTCTGCATAATCAGGACCGGCTCTCCAGAAGGATGCGAATGCAGACCTGTATGAGAGCGACGATGGCAGGACTGGTGCGGAAACTCTTCTTTCGAGAGGCCTCGGGTACACAGTGGAAGAATGTACGTGTGAAGACTGTGTCAGGAGCAAACCAAAGGTCGATTCTGACCATTTCTTTCCACTCCCAGCCATGGAGGAAGGTGCAACCATTCTTGTCACCACAAAAACAAACGACTACTGCAACAGCCTGCTAGCTGCCTCGAGTGTCACGGGGATGGAGAAATCAGTTTTCCCAGCTAATTAACCATTTCGATGGTATAGAGCTACTTGGAAAATCTTTTGTCAGAAGAAAAGGATGATGTATCGGATCTTTTTAGGATGATTGTACTTATCAGTGGATGATATGGCTTTTTGTTCTCTAATTCTGGAAAATCTTTGTTAGATATATTTTTCTACCTTACTGTTGGGAGCTTAGCTGTGGAAACTTCCTTGGTTTCATGATTAAATTGACTCACTGAAAAAAAAAAGCACTGCAATGTGTAGATTCCATAGTCACACATTTCTGTGGCTAGACCACTTCTCTCCTATACATGTACACATACATTTCATGACAGACTGGATTTCTTTTTATTGTTAAAGGAAAGCAAGGTTATCCTATGTACTTTCTAACTACAGGAGAAGCCTAGAGCCAGCCACACTAATTCAGTGTGCAGTGCATGGCCAGTTCCTGACCTTGTGAGCTTTCAGCTTCATGGAGGAATGAGGCATTATTACAATCATATAAATAAACGTGTAGTTGCAAACTGTGATAAATGGGTACTAGGTATCGTTTCTGCATCTACACGCAGGTAATAATAATGACAGCTAGCACTTATTTACCCTTACTAATGTGCTAGGGGTTGTTCCAAGTGTTTTACCTGTACTAACTCATTTAATATATACAACAAACCACAAGGTAGGTGGATCACTATTATCTGCATGTTACAGATGGTGACAGAAACTGACTCGGAGCAAGATCACATAGCCGGTAAATGGCAGGGCCAGATTTAAACCCAGACATTCTGATCTATTCGCTTTTTTCTCTTCACATCAATTTAATTCCATTTCGGAGTTTCCTCATCTCTTTGGGCTACAATCTTAGTCATTATTGGGAGAGGGCTGCCTTCATTGGGTTGTGCAAAGGTCCTGAGCTGCTATGGAAAGGGCTGTGCAATAGGCAGTGCCCTCTGGTAATCTGTTGACTTTGATCATTGTTAAGATGCCCACTGGCACCACAGCAGAGACCCTCAAGGTCTTGGGGCTTTGTGGCTTTTGTGTCAGGTTTGGGGTATGGAGAAACTTGGTGGGAACTTTTTACCCACTCAGGGCCCATTATGGCTCCATTCCAGGCCTTTGAGGGCCATAGGAGACAACGCAGTATAGTGGTGAAGGCACTGGCTCTTGGAGTTTGACTCCAGACTCTATTACTAGGAAGTTATAGACATTGGGTAACTGTGAGAGTTACTTAACCACTCTACGCCTCAGTTTCCCCATCTGTAAAATGGGGATAATTATAGTATCTATTTATAACGTTGTTTTAAGGAGTAAATGAAAATATACACACAGATACATTTATTATTTATTTATTCCCATGAAAATTTTCTGGTTCATGTTAAATTAAGTACTTTGTGTTAGTTACGTTGCCATCATGGTTTTTATTAGTGCTTTGAGGTCTAGTCTCTTTGAGGGCAGGCACACACTCCTTTTCTGTTATATGGCCTGGGAATATTCCTCCTAGTTTCTCACAAGCCTTCTTCCTTCTCCCCTCACCCGTCTCAATGAGTTTAGATTTTTTCAAAAGCCCAGAAGAGCTGCTGACCTTAGGCTTTTGATTCTTGGTCCTCCAGTACCAGGCTAAATCTCGGGAGGAAGGAATTACAATACTTAAAGGAGGGTGGCTGGTGGTGGAAAATGTAAAGCACCCTCTACAAGTTCAATAACCTATCCCATCTCAAGTGCCATGAAGAAAGGGTACAGGGCGCTAGGAGAAGGTATAACACATATCCTCATGACAATTCCATGAAGCAAGTATGTGATGTCTCACCAAAAGTTACAGAGGCAGACAGACCTAAACTAGGCTTTCTGCGGGGGAGAGGAGGGATTCAGACACACTGACTCTTTAACTAGAATAACAAATTAGCAAAAACTACAAAGTACAATTTTGAAAATGGGGAAAACAACCCCCCAACCAAACACACAAGTATTTTCATTTTTACATTCTATCATAGTCCCTGCACATGGCTGTATTTTGACTTTGACACAATTGTAATCATGGTGTACAGACCATTTTGCATGGGGCTTTTTTTTTGCCAAACCGTGTGGCATGTGGGATCTTACCAGTTCCCTGACCAGGGATCAAACCCATGCTCTCTGCAGTGGAAGCATGTAGGCTTAACCACTGGACCACGGGGAAGTTCCCTGCATGGGGCTTTTTAAAACTTATTCTATTATCACTGGCCTTTCCTTGCATTTCCGTAACATTTATAATTAGCACTTTAAACTACGAGATTCTTTGTGAGGTGGGCCATGATTTGCTTAGCTATTCTTCTGTAACCTGGCTTTGGTGCTTTTCATTTTTTCTCTATTATAAATAATGCTGCAGAGCATCCGTCTCCAAAGATCTCTTGATTTCTGCTGAATCCAAAAGGTAAATTTCCAGGGGCCAGAGAGTATGTGTTGAGAGGCAATGTAGTAGGAAGACCATGGGGATGTGGGTCACGCAGAACTCGGCTGGAATTCTGGCTCCATTTCCCCGTGGGGGCCTCAATTCAGTGTTTTGTGGATCAAGACTTAGGAGTGGATCAATTGTCTCAGTCAGCATTGAAAAAAAGAAAAGGCGAAGAGAATACATTACCTACAGAATTGTTTTGTTAAACAGCTTCTTAAATGTATGTATTTGTGTACTGGGTTGTGGTTTAAAATGCATTTTCTTTTACTCTGGGTTGTGGGCAAAACAAGTTGGGAAAACACTCCTTTAACCTTTCTGAGTCCCCTTTCCCTTATCTGTAAAACGGGGCAGTAACCTGACCTTCTTTCAAACACGACCCATCTACATTCACACCACTGCCACCACCCTAGCCCCAGGCACTAGTATCTCTTGCCAGACAATTGCAGTGGCCGCCTAACCAGCTGACCCTTCTCCACCCTGCCCCACTACAATTCATTCTCAACCCAGGAAGAGGAATCACCTTAAAATTCACATTGCATCACTCCCCTACTTAAATTCTGTAAAGATTTCGCATTCCCTTATCTCCTTAGAGTTAGGCAGGAAGTCCAACCCATTCACCATGGCCTGCAGGGCCCTCCACCCACCTCTTCAATCTCCTCTCTCTCACCATTTTCTCGCTCACCCTTTCACTCCAGTCAACCCCTCCTTCTGGAACACCCTTCCCGTCGATCTTCCCGGGCCGTCTCCCTTTTACCATCCAGGTCTCTGGTCTCTAAAGTCGTCTCCAGAGAGTGGCCCCCCGTGACTGCCCACTTCCCCTGTCCCCACGCTTTGGCTCATTCCTCTTTTAAAATTTCCCCGTTCCCCTTCTAGCGCTCTCTGGAACCGCGTTGTTGTCTCATTTCTCGTGGCCACCGTCCCGTCCGGCTCCCCGACAGAGGTGTGAGCCCAGGATGGCAGGGAGGCGTCCCGTCCGGTCCCCGCCTTGCGGATCGCGAGGCGTCGCTGCGGGGGTCTCCGGTCTGCCTCGGGCGCCCAGAAGCCTCGGCTCGTGTAGCATCGCCCCAACTCTGCCGCCCGGCACGGGTGTTTACGTTCCGGGTCGGGGGGCGGGGCCGCGCCGGCTGGGCTGTACTTCCGGGGCGGGGCGGCAGGCAGGGCGGGGCGCGCCGTCTCCTGGCCTGTCTGGAGGGCGGCAGCGGCAGTGGCGGCAGTGGCGGAGGCACGGAAGGCACCGGCCCGGGGAGCGGCGCCATGAGCGGTGAGTGGAGGCCTGGCCGCTGTCACCCGCCCAAGCCGCCCCGGCTCCCGCCGCACCAGCTGCACACTCCGGCCCCCGAGTCCCCGCGTCCCGCTCGCTCGCGGACCCCGTCCCATCGCTCCCAGTTTCCTGACCCCCATGTACGCCCAGTTCCTGGCTTCTGGTCACCTGCACTTTTCTGGCGTCCCCGGTCCAGGCACTCCTAGTCCCTTGCCTCCTGTCCATCACTTACAACCAGCTCCTGGACACCTGTCCCCCAGATCCCCCAGTCCCTCCCAATCCTCCGACCCCCCAGTCCAGTTACCGACCCCCAGTTCTCAGACCTCCTGTGTCTCAGTCCCTCCTAACTCCTAGACTCCCTGAGTCCCAGTTCCAGTTACTGATCCCGCTGCTCCCCAGTCATTCCCACTACCCAGGCCCCTGGTCCCAGTCACTCCGATCTACACACAGGCAAAGAGTGTCTCATTCTTAGTTTGCTGCCCCCTGAGCCTTGTGTCCCCCGCTAGCTCTCGGTTTCAGAGGACGCTTGGTTCTCCTCATTTTCCCTCTCTGGTTCTGCTTCTTGTATTTTGGTTATTTTTTCATACTCCAGCTCCTTCCATTTCTTTTCCTAGCTCATTTGAGGTCTCCTTAGTCCTGCCCGGCAGCCCTTCCCCTCTTTTCCAATGCTGAGCTCATTTGGGGACCTCTGCCCTTCCCAGCCCGACCCTGTCCCTCCCACTGTGGAGTGGGGTGGTTTTGGTGGGAGGCTTGAGTTATGTGTGGACAGCTTGCCTTCAGTGTTTCTGAAGTTTAGTCCCTAGACTTGGACGCGTGTTCTCAGCCCTTTCCACTCATGAGGTCCGTTGGTGTTTCAGTGCTAAGTCATTCCTGGGTGTAGTGTGCAGAGATGGGAGTGACTCAGGGAAGCCTCGCAGCTGCCCTGACTGGGATCTGGATTTACTTAGGAAGACCCGCCTACCCTCCTTCTGCCTGTTTTCCCCTCACTGTGGAATAGCCTCTACAGAATCCTTGCAACCAGCCCAGCTGGCCCTGACCTTGGACTCAGGCATTTCTGGAGGTTGAGGCAGGGTAAGGTGAAGGCCATGTGTCTCTCTTCATCTTTAACTTCTAAGTTAACTCTGTGGATCATTTTCCATAACTTAGGTGCCTTTTGTTTTGCTATTCATGAGCAAGATTTGTGAAATTGATGGTCCTGATGCGGGAGCTGGGGAGGGGGGTTTTCCTGGGAGACAGTCCAGCTTCTGTTGTCAGATGATTTTTGGCCTCGCTAGAGTTTCTGGTCCTTGAACATTAGTGATACCACAACAAAGATGCAATGAACTCGTTTCCACCCAGGAGGTAATACAGCCTGGAATAAGTGCAGACCTTGGGGGCAGACAGTTTGGGTTCAAATACTTGCTCTTCCACATAAACCTGTGTGATTTAGAGCAAGTTGTCTGCCGTTGTGAAGTCTCAGCAAAATGAGGATAAATAATAGTACCTGTATCCTAGGCTTGTTGCAATGACTAACGTTACTCACGTAAAGCGATTGGTACTGTGCCCCTTACATGGTATGTAGTCAGGAACTTGAGAGCTGCTATTGTTGTTTCTGTAAGGACCCCTGTGGGGTTCAGGTGGGGTTGTTTTCTGGTCCAGCTCTGGGAGAAGGGCTGGGGTAAGAACGCCCTGAGAAACTCTTCTTTTTAATGTGGCTATGGAGTCTGCCTTGAGCTCACAGTTCTGGACCATTCTCTC